CCCCGCCGCCGCTGCATCGCCGCCGCCGCGGCCACCGCCGCCGCCGCGCCCGCGCTCGCCGCCGACCCGCCCTCTAGGCTGAGCGAGTCCTGCCTGTCAAAGAGGCCGAAGCCCGCGGGGTAGTCGACCAGCGGAAGGAGCTCCGTGGGCCCGTCCAGGTCGCTCATCCCCTGCTGCTGCAGGAACAGCGCCACGTTGCGCCCCGCGGCGCGCGTCTCGCCGACGGGCACCCATCCGAGGATGAAGCTGACGCTGACGAGCAGCACGCACGTCACGATGACGTCAGCGACGGTCAGCGCGACGAAGCCGATCGAGTAGGGGTAGAAGCGGACCGTGACGCCGCGCAGCGCAACGCCGATGCAGAAGCACAGGGTCACCGTCAGCTGTGGCGGAGAAGAGGGGGGGTTGAGCGGGGGAGGGGAAGGCAGCGGCAGGCTGTCAGGTTGCGAGATCTGGATGGGTGCGTTGAGGCAGCGTTTGAGCTGGACGTGGCAAAAAGGCACGTGGGGTGCAGCACCGAAACGAACGCAAGGGGTGCAGTGCGGGTGGGGCAGGTGCCGGCAGGCCTGGGTTGCCTGCGCTGCCCCGCCAGAACGCAGCCCGCCGCCGTTGACGCGCTGGTCGTGGCGAAGCCGCCAGCAGCGCCAGGCCCTTCGCCGCTCCGCACCCTCGACAGTCCCCGCGCGCCGCACGCACCTGCAGCGCGCGTATCCGCCGCGAGAGCATCTTGTTGATCGCTGCGCTGGCGATGGCCCCCGTGATGGCCCAGAGGGAGAGCAGGTAGACGATGCCAAACGCGGCGCTGATGAGCGTGGAGAACGCCGGCCACACGCACACGGCGCAGTTGGGGTTGGCCTAAGGGGGGAAGGGGGTGGTTGGGTTGAGGTTTGGTATGGTGTTATGCCTGGTGTTGGTGGGGAAGGTGGCTGGTTATGGGGAGGGCACAAGCAGGGCTCTAGGGCGGTCCGGGAATGACAACGCCACAACATCCACCGTAACAAATCGGACGAGAGACCGCCGCCCAGGACGGCCGTCCAGCATGGGCAGCGCGAGCGGAGGCAGGCAGCAGGGCGCGGCCGCCGGCGTGGGCAGTTGGAGCGGGCAGGCACGGGGCTGCAAGGGTTGCGCTACGGGGTCGTGGGCGCACCCTGTCGTCTGGCGGGCACATCACGTCTGACACGTCAATGGATGCCGCGAAGAACTCCTTCATGAGGTCCTCATGATAGCGCAGCTGGGTGATGATGCTGCGCACAGGGGTATGTGTGAATGTGTGCGTGTGTGTGTGTGTGTGTGTGTGTGCGCGCGTGCGTGTGTGTGTGTGTGTGTGTGTGTGAAGGAGAAAAGCGAGGGCGCAGAGACGGGACCAGAAGTCAGAAGGACGCTGGGTGCAGCCCTGACTTTGCACGCCGAGGCGGCGCTGCTGGCACGCCTGGCCCCGGCTCCTCCTGCCCCAGCCAAGCAACCTCCACCCCCAGTCACGGCGTCCACTCGCCCCCGCCAACCGGCCTGATCGTTCAGCCATGAGCAATCCACGTCCTTCCTCAGCACAGGCGGCCGTCCGCCCGCCCCGTTGTTGCCGCCGCCAGCAGCCCCGCCGGTCCCCCCTCCCCACCGCTGGCCTCGTCGCCGCCGCAGGCCCCGCTCACCGCGAAAAAAGCGCCGCGAACACCTGGGCTGCGCACATCGGCAGCGTCAGCCCGACGGTCAGCGCAAAGATGAAGAGGTTGGGGTTTGGCCCCACGTCCTCGCTGTGCTTGTGGACCGTGTACATGCAGCTGAAGAGGACCAGCAGGAGGAAGGCGGGCTCCAGAAAGCCAAAGGTGAGGCCGATGTAGAGGCGGCACATGGGGTCGACCTGGTAGCCGCCAGGGATGATGGGGGAGCGGTAGCTCCAGAGGACCTGGGGCCAGGGGGGTTGCGGGCGGGGTGTTGTTTGGGGGGTTTGGGGTGCGGAGGTTGGTCTCTATGGGGGTGGTGGTGGGAAGGGCGTGTTGGGGCGAGGCAGTTTGGTGGCGACCAGGCCCCCAGGGAGTTGAGGGCTGTTGAACGGCTCCGGCGCGAGGCGCGACGGCGAGCGCGCCGCCAACGCGTTCAGTGCGCCGCTCGCGCCGCCGCTGCCGCCGTCGCCGGGGGCAGCGCCCGCAGGTGGCTGCGCTTGCAAGCCGCGAAGCCGCCGCCGGCCCGCTGCCGCCGCCCCGTCCCCTGTGACGCACGGCCGCCCCCGTCAGCGCTCCGTCAACACAATCACATAAAACAACCACACACGTACACACAAACACAGTTCACACTTAAGCACACACAAGAACATGCTGCACATACACACACACACACACACAAACACACACACAGCCCACACTTATGCACACACAAACACACGCGCGCGCATGCTGGTGTGAACCCCGCAGGTCCTGCTGGACGCAAGCGCGGATACGCCGTCAAGGCAAGGCCACACAATGCCGCAGCAACGAGACTCATGCCCGGCCTCACCTGCAGCCGCAGGTCCAGGGCCAGCGCGTACAGCGCGCCTGTGAATTGCAGCGTGAAGCGCGTGACCCAGAGGTAGTTGAACGCCCGTGTTGGCGCCTGCCGCCGCGCCCGCCGCGTCCAGGGCACTGAGTAGAGCGCCCCCACGAGGCTTGCGGCGGCGATTAAGCCCGTCAGCGCGAGGACCGCCCAGTCTATGAGGGACACGACGCCCGGCGGGACGAGCATCGTGCGGACGGGTTCGCGGCGCCGGCGCCGAGCTGGCGCGGCGTGGCGCTGCGCCGGCGGCGCGCCGCAGTCCGTCCGCGACGCGTCGGTTCGCTGCGCGCCGGGGCCGAGGGATACTGCTCCCTGCTAACCCATGAAGAGTACCCTGAGATGTCTGCTTTGCCTCGCGATCGAACCGCCCGCTGCCCAAATTTGAAGCTGTTGGATCGCCCGGCAGCGGCAGAGCGCTCAAATGGCGCCTCTGCAATGATACGCAGCTACTAACTGCTCTCCTGGCCTGCTAACAAATCAGCGGGTGATCAAGGCGCACGAACCAGCCTATGCGCCGATTTTTGGATCTGTGGTATGCAAGCGACGCTTTCGAGTGTATGCAACGGTCGTGAGTTGAGATGTGGGGTGCACCCGTGTTCACATGCCAGGCCCGGGGTCACTGCGACGTGGGTGCCGCTGACAAATGCGCCTGCTGGCGAGGCGCAAACATGCACCAAGTCAGACTGAAGCCACAGGACATGCCCTCATCTCCCTGATGTCACCATATGTATTGCATTACAGTCGATACCAGGCTGGTGGCCTCGCAGGGGTGCGAGCTCATGCACCTGATCAGCGCAGTCATAACCGGGTCTCACTGGGCTGAGCGGAACCTCCTCTTGGCCGCCGCCTTCGCCCAGCAGTGCACGATCGTGCCCTCCCGCAGGATCTCCGACGCCTTCCGCCGCCGGCTGATCCACCGCCCTGGCTGGGGTGGCGCGGCGGTTGTAGGCGACCCTGGAGACCCGCTGCCTTGGTCTGAGGGTTGCTGGGGGGGCGGCTCGTGATGCTCACGGGGGTCATCAAGTTCCTCCTGCTCCAGATCATGCCCGATGTTTCCCTCACACTGCTGCGGATCCTGCCGCTGCTGTTGCTGTTGTACCTGGTGCTGCCGTTGCTGCTGCTGCCGTTGCTGCTGCTGCTGCTTTAGCCGCTGCTGCTGCTTTAGCCGCTGCTGCTGCTGCTGCTGCTGCTGCTGCTGCTGCTGCTGCTGTATCTGCAAATCCATGGCGCAGGCTGCCGCCGCCTTGCCACCTGGTGCGCTGGCCAGCTGCAGTGGCGCAATCACCCTGCGCCTGCATGATCGCCCCGAGCGCCGCCACTGGGTGCCGTCCTGGCAAGCCCCTGCTCTGGTGCCGCTGTCCTCTCCACACATGTCGCCTGAACCTTCATCGGCGCTGTCAACAACCTCGGCTCCGCGCGCCCCATCGATCTCTCGCGGCCGCACCCGCGCCTTGCGGCAAGAAATGACACACAGCGGCGCCGCGGATGCCTGAGAGGCATCGAAAGTGACCGCGCAGCGCCACGCACCGGGTTTCTTGCCCGCCTCGCCCCATCCTGACCTGGCCAGCTGCGGACCGACCGCCATGCCGGCCGGCGCCGCGCCGCCACTGCCTTGACCGGCGGCCCCTCGGGAGGCGCCCTTGAGCAGTGGAAGCGGCGCCCTGGCTTCCAAGGCGTCCTTCAAGCAGCGCCGCGTGCGATTCCAGCCGCCCAATGGTTGCTCTCCTTGTTGCTCCTCCTGCTGCGCCTTCTCCTGCTGCTGCTGCTGCTCCTCCTGGTGCTGCTCCCGTTGCTTTTCCTGCTGCTGCACCTGCTCCTGCTCCTGCTCCTGCTGCTGGCGCCGCCAACACTCATCCAACATGTTCACAGGTGCCCCAGCAGGGCGGGTCCTGCCACCCACCGCCCCGGCCCCCCTGCCCGCGGAAGCCACTTGTGGCCGGGCCGGCAGAGAGGCGGGCGTGGCCCCCGGGCTGTTGTCCATGGAGCGTCCACCGCATGTGAGGGGGCTCGCGCTGCTGATGGGCCCGCTGCTGAGAGGGCTCAGGGGCCCGCTGAAGGGTGTTGCTGCACTGCTCGGGGGCTGGCTACGTACATGGTTGGAGTGAGGAGGGGGCGTGGACCAGCCGCCTCTGCAGCGCTGCTGCTGCAGCTGCTGCTGCTGCTGCTGCTGCTGCTCGTGCTGCTCCTGCTCCTGCTGCCCCTGCTCCTTCTCCTGCTGCTCATGCTGCTGCTCCTGCTTATGATGGATGTTGTCACAGCCAAGCCCGGCAGCTGTCATATGTGTCTCTGGCACCGCATCTGGGTGGGACCCCCCGTGCGGCGGGTGGCTGCGAATGCCCCAGGCCTGCGGCAGTGTTGGCGCCTCGGGCTTGCGCAAGGAGCCTGCGTCGCCCCTGCCTACCTGGTGCCCTGAGCCGTCAAGCGGGTCGCACGCCTGCTGCCTCCCTGGCCTGCTCAGCTGCTGCGGCGTCCCTGGGGGCCCGTCGCCACCCCCTTTGGGGCCGCACAGTGGCCGCCGGCGAGGCAGAGGCAGCCGGCGCAGCGTCTTTGGGGTGGTGCCGACCTGTGTCGGGGCGGCGCCTGCAGGCGCACGAGCCGCGGCTGCCACTCCAGGTGCCGCGTGCCTGCGCATTCATTCCAGAAATGGGTGCATTTACCATCCGCTGGATTTCCGTGTATTAATACCAGTGATCAGCAGGTGCACCGAGGCGTACTGCGACGTGCAACACACCAGTTTTCCAACATCCGCAGACAGGATCCCCAACCGCCTGCTGGGCCGATCCGCGCGAGGCGGGCGGGCAGTGGCGTTGCTGCGGCGCGTCTCTGAGCGCACCTGGCTCGCTCGTCCTGCCTTGGGGAGGCCGCACATGGGGAGGGCTGCTCCCAGGGCGCCCCAGGGACCAGGGCAGGCTGAGTAAGGCCCAGCAGCACTGCAGTTGGGGGTTGTGATGGCGCCGAATGAGGCGGCCAAGGAAGGTCACGGCGTAGAGGGGGTGCGTGCGTGGCATGATCGGATTGGCGGTGCTGGGTGCAATTTGAACCAGCGACAAGGTGGCCCCCACAATAGCTTGCTGCAAACATGGCTTGCGCGACGCTGCTGGTGCTGGTGATATCACATCCAACAGCACATGTTCACGCTGAGGGGCTACTCCTAGTAGCATGACAGATTGACCGTTTGCCTGACTAGCAGTTGCCTCATGAAATTTCAAAAGGGCTATGCGGCCATCGCACCGCGCACGTCGACTGTCTGACTCTCCGGCGCGCCAATCAGATACTGTGTGTCTGCCAAGAGCTCCCGAATCGAGTCTGTTATGATCATTTGCGCGTGTGTGCTGGCTGCTCGGCGGTGCAGGAAGCAGCAGGTGCTGCGCTAACAACGCTGGTGCACTTGGCAGGGCGTGCTGCCCAGCCACTCTGCGGAAGTAGAAACAAGGATCAAGGTCAACTGGGTCTCCCGTTTGGTTTCACAACTTTAGACGCACAGCTGTCGCAAACGCCTGGGATCAACGCAACTCCGTGGAAAGCTTCAGTGCATAACAGCCTGCATCGTGCAACACTTGTATCCATGCATCGCAGATATCAGCAATGGTTCACTGCGCAGGTGCTGGGCGAACAGGTGCCGCGTCGGCACTCAACTTGGGCAGCATCTGGCAAGCTGGCTGGTGCCAGGTGTGTGCGCATGCGCGCTGGTGCGTTGAAAGGAAATGCTGCGGTGGGATTGCCAGGTGCATACGGCAGGGTACACCTGACGGTGCTGCCCAGCGTGAGTAGGGCTGCAATGCTGTACAAGGGACCGTGAAGATCACTAGGTGGCGGGTGTGTCAAGGTGGCCGGTGTGTAGAAGTTTCAGCATGTTCCTCCTGTACTTGAGGGATACACCTGTCCTTGCAGTCTGTATGGAACTGCATCCTTTCACTAGCCTTCCGTTGAGGTGGAAGCTCAGAGGCAAACAGATGGCTGGGACGGATTGTGATGACAATGCTCAGCTCATCACTCTTGTGCGGCGCAGCTGGTCCTGGTTCCATCTCACCCACACGGAACTGCGTGTGTGCTGCTCCATTGCAATGCATTATTTCATGTCTTGTGTGATTCCAATCCGCTTGACACCTCGACCGTACTCACCCCCGGGGTCGAGGCTCGTCAAGTTTCAGGAAACACAGTCTGGAATCACGATTGTCACACGAAACAAAGCCAGCTCTCTTTCATCGACCTTGGATATCTTGGCACATCCAACCCAATTCACACGACGCGCATTGTACGAGCAGACCGATCTTCGCAACGTCGCTCAGACTGGTGACTGCGCCGGCGGTGTGGCCGTGTACCTTCGGCGCTTCAGGTGGGACATTATTTGATAGCACTAATGACTCAGCACGGTGACGGGAGCATGCGACGCGGTGCTGCAAGGCCCGTGATGTTCACGGCACACGCTGACTGCATGAGGAATGCTGCTCTGAAGGCCTGCCACTTGCACATGACCATTGCAGGCAGTGCAAAGGGGCACCTTATTGCACTTGTGCCCAAGACCGCCGCAATGGCGAGTCCTGTTCAAGCCAGGGCACTGCTGCTAGTCGCACTGCTGCTGGCTGCAACGGAGTGCACCTGGGCTGCTCGTGCCCCTGACTTCACAACTACGGCTGCCAGGCCCCGCCGAGCCCTGATGCAATGTGAGTGGCGCCGTCGGTGCCGCCGCCTTGCTGCTTACTGTGTAGTGAGGCGTGTGAGCATGCTTGTCCTGGTAACCCCTGTTGAACCGGGGGTTGCGAGTGCGGTATATAGCCTCGGGGGGGGGGGGGGGG